GTGTGTGTGTGTGTGTGTGTGTGTGTGTGTGTGTGTGTGCGTGTGTCAGTTGAGTGTGTGTCGCACGCGCGTATGAATTCGAGTTGTTTTTTTCTCCCTCCTTTACCTTCAGTGGCTTCAGACGGTGACTCAAGTGCAGGGTCAATAACCTTACGAGTACGAGACTGCGACATCGAACAGCGGTGCTGTCAACAATATATTTTTTAATGACACTATAATTCACTTCACACTATGTTGCTCAAAATAAACTACTTCCCACCAGTCGGTTTTCCGGTAAACCTGCTGTGCCATTTATGAGTGACTTTGTTATGAAAATATATGAAATGTTTACTTCCACACATCAAGATTTGTTCGCTGGTGTAAAGAAAACAAAACAAAACAGAGCACTTCGCGCATAAAACGTTTGCTCAAAAAAAGCAGATAGATAAGAGGTGGCCTGAACGTTTCGTTCAAATTCAATTGATAATCATCGTGCAAAAATAACTCTGACAAACCCAAAATTTGAATCATGTCCTTTTTAAAAACGGTAATTTACTTGGCCTCAGTAAAAAAGAAAATCCGCAATCAGAGATTTAAAAATAACCTAATTGATTTTCATAAGAAACATTGTTGAAATGTTCTTAGTTTTCTACAGTACATGTACGATTTAAAATGTGGTAATCAAATTGTGCAAGACTTCCACATAATTAACAGTTTTGTTTATAGAGGACATAAAGGTAAAAGAGATACATGTACAAATGTTCAATGTAAACAAGTAAAAGTATACAAACATACTTTTATTATTTTTCATGGTGTGAACAGCAGAAGAAGTCTTCTTTTTCCTCAACTTCAGACTTAAATTTGATTTGAAAATTAAAACATTAAATTTTAAAACTTTAAAGAAAGTGCAAACAAACAAACAACTTGACCTTTCTTGTGTGTAATTAAAGTAAACTACAGGAGACAGTTTTCCACTTTCAAGGACTGACATCGCATAAAAAGTTAACATAAACAGATGGAAATACATTAGCCCTGCTACTAAGCAATTTTTTTTCCCCAACTATTGTTCACAACAGAAAAAAATTGTTCCCTCCTGTAAGTGTTCCTCTAAAAAGATCTTAAAACAAAGAGACTTGTCTTAGTTATTTTATGAACGATCATTTATTATAATTTAATAAAACGTAAAGAATCTGTCCTGCATGTACTGCCAAGGGGCCATTTTTGTGACTAGGATGAGTCTTTAACTGTTTTTGTGTATATGAGTTTTAAAGTATACTTAATGCAGAAAGTCTAGAGAGAATATTATTTCTGTAATAGTTTTAGTAATGTTTTACGGCGCTAGCAACTGAAGGTCATATATATATATATGAGTGCCAAGGGGTGGATGTCAACAGCGAAGTCCAAATGGGGAACCAGGCTTACTCTGCTCACCTCTCTAGCCTCAACAGCACAAGGTCTGCTTCGACTATCAAGGCATCCCGGAAATAGCAGTTCACAAGAGTGACAAACATACAAAAGATAGAAGAAAAATGACGACAGTAAGGATGAGGAAAGAAAAAGCAGCTTTTCCCCCTATGCTGTTCCGGCACAGTAAGCATACACTGATAAATCACTTTATTTATTATTCTACTAAGCATAAAAACACATTAATTATTTCTAACAGACAGAGTAATGTATGAATTAAAGCAATATCCACCAAAACTACAATTTTTTGGTGACAACTTGTCAGATTTGGTAAGCAACTCTAACCATATACACCAATTCTAACAGAGCAAACAGACACTTTTAAGAATAATAAATTGAATCTAGAGCATGAGTACACCCGTAGCTCTCTGTGAATGCCTGGGGTCAAACCATTACCCAAGTCAGTAAGTCAAGTTTGACGTCAAAGCTGCTCTAGTGGCCATCTGAATAAAAGGTAATCATCGGTGCGAAAGGCCACTTCCCATTTCCTCCTTTTTGCATTTTAAAAAAATTGTTATAGTAATGGCACTGTGAAGATGGACACCTGTCTAAGACAGCCGCATTTTTGCTCGACAATGGACGGCTGTCTTAGATAATTTCAACTGTGTCCAGATGACCAATAAGCATTATTATCAGCACTAAAAGGCATGGGTCACAATTATTATTTTATTAGGGCTTTAAAGACTTTCAATGCTCCAAACAATACTTCAGGTTTTAAAAATCAGCAATTGGAAAAGTAAGGCAGTCAGACATTTTCCTGTTCTTGCTGCTACTTTTAGCAGAACACTGTCCTTTCCTCCAATCTTTTTTAACAATACATTTACACTGTACTCTACTTTCCGGTATTGTTCTTCCTCGAACATTCTTTTAACAGTTGTACCACCCATTAACAAAAATAAATTCCTTTTGAGCCTTGATCTTCAATTCTAGTAACCCAACAACAGACCAAAGTCTCAATTGTACACCTAAAAGTTGTTTTAGTGAGAAGATAGAGGTGTCACCACAAAGTGGAATCAGGTGCTCGTCAATTTTTGGGCATTATATGGTATCAACTTAAAGCTTGCTCATTTGTCTTGCTTTCGATTTTAAAAAAAGCACCCATCTATTTTTAATAGAAGATGTGATGTTTCGAATTGAAGGAGGTAGGGGTCACCTGGTTTAAAAGGTCAAATTGGCGAGAAAATGGCAATCAAAGTTTGGTTACTTCCAAAGCTTGAGAGCCCCACTTGGAAATTGAAAATTTACGTTTTTTGTGCCTTTGATTAACAGGGGGTTTTTTTTTCCTAAAATCATCACAGCATTGATTGTTTAAAAAATGTATTGAAAGTGAAAGGTGTTGATCAAAAAAAAAAAATTCATTTAAAATTGCCAAACGGGAAATTTAAACTACTCTCACTGTTTTCTTCTATCTCATCATTTTGACGAGCGCCTGATTTCACCATAATGTCACAGATATTCAATCAACACAGAGCTCTTGTCAATCTTTAAAAGAAAAAAATCTGTCATTAGTTTCGAGCCACCTCACATTCTCTTATTATTTTTGGTTCTAAAAATATTTGCATCAATAAAAGTACCATCAATGGTAAAGAGCTATAGATCTATATAAAGATATAAGAATGAAGCTGCACATTCTAACCATCCTTCAAATCCATTACTCCTGGAGCCTGGAATCACGATTTCTTTTTTTAATAGAAGGGCAATTAGGGTCCTAGACGACATCCACATCTCCATCCTGCTATACTTTAGCCTCTGTAGAATTGGATTTGTCTACTGTCGAGGCTACAACCCAGCGAGTCCAGATTCCTGATCAATTTAACGAGACCTTAGCTTAGCTTTCGAAAAGATAGACAGATGGCAATAACATCCAGTAGGTTTAGCTATGTTTCAGACAAAAAACGATTCAATCTTTATAATATAAAGTAAATATGCGGCCATATAATATAGCCAAGGCCTACTTAATTCAAAAAGCATTGAAACTGCCATACAAGTAAAAATCATGTGTAGACTCTACCTACTTCGAGTATAGATCTAGTATAGAATCTAGTTAGTAGAGATAGATAAGTCTTAACTTCAAGTTATAGAGGCTAACAGTTCAGTAGCCTCTATCTCTCTGAGTCTCTAAGTACAAAAACTGTACACCTCTATGGCCCTACCTTTGGTGGTGCGTAAAATTCCATTTGAAAACCACTCTGGTTTTTCAGTAGAACAAGCCTTGTCTTCTCCCATCTAGATTTTCCCTTTGCGTCTTCCCCGGTCAGAACATTAACAATTCCTTCTTTCTGAATGTCTTGCTGTGAGTTTGGTAATCGTTTGGAATCTCTCTTGTTTTTATGTTTTGCTCGAGGGTTTGGTGAAGATGGTTCCCCGCCCTCTTCTGTTCCTTGTTTGAATAGTTTTGATTTTTTAATGTTTTTGAAGGAAAAACGCCGGAATATACCCCGTGTTGGTTTACGGGACGGACTGACCCCTCGATCAGGGCTGCTGTCCCGCTCATAATCATCTGTGTGCGTATGCTGAATATGGTCACTTCCATTTTGAGGCATTTCAGGGACAATCCCTGTCCGAGGGGTTGCCTCCGCTGGACTAGCTCCGTGCGCTTCGGCCACAGAATTCACTTCCGTAATGTTGTTTGCATTATGGAGGGACGATCTACGCAGTTCGTAGTCGAAGTATCTCAGAAAGAATTCTGTAAATTTTTTCGCATAGTCATATGGATCTCGCGTCCTGCCGATCGCTGGGTTATTTCGATCAAATGCTAGGAAATTATGCACAAAGTTCTGCGCCGAATTGGACGCTTGTTTCTCACAGAAATCAACAGTCATGCTTTCGCCTTCTCCGTCACTCCCAACTCCGGCCATTGGAAAAACGGAATTCGAACATCAATACCCCACACATATCCAAAGAGTGTTGTTGTCATTCCCACACCTTGGGATGTTCATGATCGAATGGCCTATGCCCTGCAGAGAAACCCAAACACTGCGGTGTTTACAGAATCGAAGCGAACACTACCGTCCGCGCACACAACAATCACAATGTGTGACGTGCAGCATTTATAAGAGGTAAATTCCACGCATGCGCAGTCGTCGGGTCCCTAGTCATAAGTCCATTCATGACACAACAAGCCGCTCGGGCGGGTTTTCTTGCATAAACACATGAGAGGTCAACACTGAATCAACAACACGATTTTGTGTCTTGTTATCTTTTATCCATTCTAGACAATAATAAAAGGTTGAGCAGAAGAACGGGAATACGTGTTTGAAAAATCGTAACTGTTCAGAGAACATGCATTCCTCACCATCCCGGACTGAAAAAGCGCCGGGGCGGGGTGGAAGGGGGGGATTTGCAACTGACTATCTAGGTCAACTCGTGGGTCACCTTATTCAATGGTTTTTACTGTATAAACATGACTGAGGTACGTGAAGTGGATGAAAGCTGTCGGCAGGATTGTCGGTATGAACGGCAGCAAAGCTTCAGGCCAGGTTGTTTTCGTTTCTGAAGTTAAGTCATATCAGTTCATTTGCAAATAGTGTAGTATGACGTTTTCCCATGTTTTAGCTCACTGCAGCGTGACTGAATGTAACTGCTGTGAGGTGGGCGTCGCTCTGACTCTGAGAAAAAGAAAAACAACAATGCGCTATTTCTACGCCAGCGCGTCATGAAGCTATTCAAACTGCAAGATGCATTTGTTATTCACCTGTTAGCCTGTTGTTTTTGTTTTTAGTTTGATTTCTCTTTTTCAGCGACGAATTGTTAATCACCCATGGCAGGAGCAAGAATTCACATCAATAATCGTCGCATTGTTATACCATAAAAAGCTTTTATGGTATTTATCTGTAATTAGAGACTAAATTCATGAAGAAAGTTATGTTTATCTAAATGTATTACATGCACTTGCACTACATTTTAGTTATTTTAATTTTGGATTTTATTTCTGTTTTGCTGTTGCTCTCTCTCTCT